GCGCCGCCGCCGCCGGCCTTTCCCGGGAGCTGCGGTTCGCCTGCGCGCCGGAGGCGAGCTGCTGGGCCTCGGGAGGGTGAGGGGGGTTTCAGGCTGGCGTGAGCCGGAGCCTTAATTCTGTGTGAAAACCTCGGGAGCCTGAGCAGGACGCAGCAGGGGTTGGGTGGGTTTTTTTTTTTTGCAGGACTAAGCAGTGCGAGTGCCTTGTGCGCAGAGGGAGGTGGCCGTGGGGACGGTGGGATAAATCCTTCCCCCTTGGCCTTCCCCTCCTCTTCCTCGGGGACTCGCTATGCTCGCCGAAGTTCAAAAGGCTTTGAGATCCCCGAGGGCCGGCGCAGGCAAGGTCACGGCGTTAGGCGGGAGGCTGGGACACAAACCGCTGCACCTCCCGTGCCTCTCCTACACCTCCTTCCCCTGCTGCTGCCCGACCGCCCCCCTCCCTGCCAGGCCACTGGAACAAAACCCTGCTAGCACAGTGCAATTCTTGCTAGAACAAATTGTTGCTGGCATCGTAGGTTATTTAAATCCACATATTATCTCTTCCTCTGTATTACATTAGCTTCCTCCCAAACCTTCGCCATCTGTTCCACCCTCGGTTATGAATGTGAGAAAACCGAACATGCTGCTTCACAGCTACGGCGCTTAAAAAGTAGGATGTGCATCCTAATGGCTCGGCTGTGCGCCTCTCCCTGCAGGCTGCGCCCCTTCCTTATCGCCCAGGATGCCCTCGAAGCAGCCGTTGACGCTGCTGGGGGGGAGAAACGGTGGTTTCGTTCCTCCTCTGCGACCCGCGTCTCTCCCAGCTCCCCGCCGCCGCGGGAGGTCACGTTCTCAGAGGTGCCGGACCATCTGCGAGCGCCACAGACTTCAACAGGGTTGATGTCCGTGCGATTACTGCTGCTGCTCTTCCTCTCTGAAAGCCTGTCAGGCCCCTAATGCTGCCTGTCATGTCGGGGGAGAAACGGTGGTTTCGTTCCTCCTCTGCGACCCGCGTCTCTCCCAGCTCCCCGCCGCCGCGGGAGGTCACGTTCTCAGAGGTGCCGGACCATCTGCGAGCGCCACAGACTTCAACAGGGTTGATGTCCGTGCGATTACTGCTGCTGCTCTTCCTCTCTGAAAGCCTGTCAGGCCCCTAATGCTGCCTGTCATGTCTCTAGCGCTTCACCGGCATCCGCGCTAGCAGGTACGGACAGCCCCGTCCGGCCTCGGCGCCCGCTTGTTTGCTCAGTGCTGCGTGCTCGGGGCTGGCTTCGCTTGGGGCTCGTTTTTTTTTTTTTTTTTTTATTCTGGACTGGCAAGATGTGTCCTACGGTGCCGTCCACCAGCAAACACCCTGCGTTCAGCTCTTCCTAAACTCCGCGTGGGTGCTTTCGAGCCTGCGCCGGAGCTTGCGAGATGACGAGGAAGCCAGAAAGCTACAGGGCTCTGTGTGTGTGTGTGTGTGTGTGGGGTGATCTCTCCCCAGCCACCGCGGGGAAACGGTGGCAGAGCTGTCGTTTCGTCCTTCCTGCATCCCGGCTGCTCATGGGCTGCAGGGGCCACCGCTCCCTCCTCTCTCCCGCCCCCTCGCTCTCACCCCATTGCCGCAGGG